CACCCCGTTCGGTTCGGTACCGTTGCCGCCGAGCGCCGAATACTACGCGTCACAGACGCCGCGTGTCACGCCGTCTCTCTCGCACTCACGGGGCGGCCCGGGGGGTAAGAGCGAGAGCGAAAGAGACGGAGCATTGGCTTCCGGATCAGCGTAATCCACATGGCGTTCCGGGGGGTCGTCTTTTTTAAAAAACTGTGGGCGAAAAGGAGTTTTACGTTCAAGCTATTACAAGGTTATTACGCTCGAAAATATCCAGATTTAGTCTAATATCGGACCCATAGGGAAAATCTTTAAAAATTTGGCTATTACGCTATTACTATTACGCGTAATACTAGGAATCGGTGACCCGACTATTACGCGAGTGATTTCCCCCTCGTGGCGTTCGTCGGGCCGAGGGTCGTCGTTCTTTGGAGCGAACAAAAGAGTGGAGGGGAAACGGAGTTTTCAAGTTCAAGCTGAGTTTCAAGTTTTGTCGAGGTCGAAGCGAAGTTTCTCTCAAGTATAGTACCCAGGTTTTAAAGGAAGTGATGGGTTTTTGACGCTAAAGCTCTCAAAATTAAAAAAAAATCAAACTACTTAAGTTATTTGACTTTGAATTGAAAGTTATTTCGTCTTAAAATACGTGACATTTGGAGGAAAATCAATAACCACTCGACTTGATTTGGACCGAGTGCGCGAGACAGGACGACTCCGCGGTTTTGTCGCCAGGCCGACCTGCAATATGCAACGGGTCATAGGGACGGAATATGGAAAGCGAGCGGGGACGCTTTGCCGCGCTTGCACCCCAAAGGACCGGCGTGGCTCTCCCCGCACTCCGGTATGCAAAGTTTTTCCAAAAAGGGAAGGGCGATGCAAAGCGAGGGGCCACTCGACCGGCATTTCCCTTAAAAGCGTCAACTTTTTAATCGGCCTAATGTTATACGGGAACCGGGAAGGCATAAGCGACGCGACGACTAACGAGGACGCGGGGCCCGGCCGCACCAACGCTGGCAGCACACCGACACAACGACACCCTAATGACGTCATGGCATGTTTCGATCTTTACCGGATTAGTTGTCATTAAACTTACGTCCAGGAGGTGGCGCGCCAGCGAGTGACGTTAAAATTTTCAGACTTGTAAATTATTCCCTCCAACCGATCCACCCCGTTGCCGCGCGCTGCCGGCGTCCGCCCTTCGCGCCAGTCCCGCCCTCTCGCACTCGGGGGTCATTTTTCACGTCTGCTTGATGGCTTTTCATTCCGTGCGTCCCGTTTTTTACCTGTTTAGATACCACACTGATAAAGAGGGGGTGGCCTCGGGGCCACTCACGGGGTTCCACTTTGGCGGGACTCGAACCCGCAACCACGGGGCCCGGAAGACATTGTCTTGACCACGCGGCCACCGCGAGGTGGCTGGCATTGCTGGAGGGGCGCGCAAACAAATGAGTTGGAACTTGGATGACCCGGTTACATGACAATGAGCTTGGTGCCTGACAGCCGTCCAGCGGGGCGGTTTGGCTGTCTCTCTCGCACCCTTCCGGGAGGCCCCGTGCGTGCGAGAGAGACAGACTGGAGGATAAATCGCGACCTGCTCGCGCCCTCCTCCATGTCAGCGGCAGCTTTTGGTGATGTATCGACGGCATTTGACGCCCACTCCAATTTTTAGATACTTTTTCTTTTTATTTACGACTCCGCGCCCTCCGCAGCGCCACCACCGGACTAATACGCTTTATTTTGATTCTGTTTTTGTTTTCCGTTTTGCTTCTGTCTTCTAAAGTGCCTGGCGGGCAGGGGCCGGTCAGCTGCAGGCTCTGCCTGTCTCTCTCGCACCCCTGCGGTGCTGGCCGCGAGTGCGAGAGAGACAGAGCGAGTGCTGGGTGTGATTGTCGCCGCGGTGGAGTATCGATTCCAGCGGATGCTCCACGCGGGTCTTTGTCTCACCGCCGTCCAGCGCTATCCGGGGAAATGGAGGGAAAATAAACACGACAGAAGCACCTCGACGCTTCTGAGCGTGACAGTCCGTTAACGACGCGCCACCCTTAAAACCGTACAGTATCGGCCCAAAGCGGTGTCGCGGCGCACCTCTCCACTCCACTGGCGGGGCCGCGGGGCCGCGAGTCGCGCGAAACAGAAAACGGCGCAAATCATGATGCCGCTTTCATTCCGCCGCGCGTCGCGTTCGAGTTTGTCGTTATTCAATATTCCCTTCATTTGCACACAATAACTCAACGTTTTAGAAAGAACACGGCGGTCGCGCGCGGTGTCGTCGGCCAGAGGGAGGGAGGGGGAGGGAGAGGAGGGGGCCAGTAGAGGAGAAAGGCATTATAAACCGAGCGAGGAGGACGTGTAGGCAAAGAAAGAGTGTAATGCATTCTGCGGTGTCGACAATCAGCGCGGACCGTATTGTCACACTGTCAGGCAGCCGGGGCGGCGGGGCGGCCGCACCTCCAGAGTGCCAATCGCCTTCGCGACCGCAGCGAGGAGGGGCCAACCAACACAGCCAGCCAGCCAGACCGAGCAGCCAGCCAGGGCCGCCTCTCCAAACAACTTTTTCTCCCGGATTTCGTTTTTACCCCCTTCTAGAGTAATCATGCGTCCCGGCCCCATACGACCGTCGACACACACGCACACAGACACAGGCACTCACACACACGCAGGCAAAAGTGTTGGCCCGATGAAACAATAGCGACGTGAAGTGGTGGCACCACGAGGGCCCCCTTCTCCTCCTTTCCCCCTGGACTCGAGTAATATCTGAGAAGGTCACACCGGCCGTCTCTCTCGCTCCGGCTCGTTGTCCCGCGGCCGCGGCCCGCACAAGCCGCTCCATTAAACTCTTCTTTTTCTAATGACATTTCTTTGTTTCCGCCTCGGATTCCATTTTTCGTCGCGCGCCTTGCTTTTCACGGGTCGAGAGGCGCCGTAGCTCCGCGGTGCGGCCCGGTGCGGCCCGCCGCGGCCGGCCCCGTGACCCGCGCCTCCACGAAAGGTCGCGGCGCCGGCCCGGAGTGGACTGTACTTTGCACAGCGTGGACTATACTTTGTACGCTCCAGAGTGGACTTTACTTGGTACGCTCCGGAGTGGACTGTACTTTGTACGCTCCAGAGTGGACTTTACTTAGTACGCTCCAGAGTGGACTTTACTTGGTACGCTCCAGAGTGGACTTTCCTTAGTACGCTCCAGAGTGACCACACTTGGCAGGTACGCTGGGAGTGCACTACTTACACTGTGGGCACGGGCCGGGCGTGGCGGGCAGGGCGGCGGCGCCGTGTGCGAGAAGCCAGATCGAGGCAAAAATGGGCCGACCGCGGTATGCATACCGACTGGGGGAGCAAAATAATGCACGAAGGGGAGGCTAGAGGGCTAGAGCCGGCAGCCCCGCAAGTGCGGCAATACCGCGCAGGGGCGCCGCGGCCGCCGCCAGGCCGCCAGGGCAGGCATGAGTTTCAGCCGGATATGCCATAATTTTATTTTCGCGAAACAAGACCATCACAGTCCGGCCGGGCTGGCCGGACCGGGGCACCGCTACGGGTGCAGCCTGGTGCTGCACTGTGCGGCCGGCTGACGTCAAAAGCCTGTCAAGGATTCGCCCAGCCGACGGGATTAAACCGTCAGAGTTCCAGCTTTTGCCAGGACGCGCTCTCGGCACGTCACTGCAAAGAAGGACTTTGCAGGCAGGCCGGGTCACACAGCCCCCCGCTCGTTTCGGCACTAAAAAGGCGAGGCAAAACGGGCGTTCTCACGGCCGCGGCTTCTCGTTTGTTAATGGCGGGGCCCACATTAGTGGCGCCCAAGTCAAGTGGGGCGGTAAAACATTTCTTTTGTAAACTAGGTCCGAATCGAACGGCCAGACACGCGCCTACACTCTAATTATGGGGTGCCCAGAAACTGGGTGCCTTTGTCGCCTGCCCCACTTTTCAGGGTGCCAAATGTCGCCCAGTTTCTGGGCACCTTTGTCGCCCAGTCTCGGGGTGGACTAATCATGCAGTAACCGGCCCTCTCCCATGGTAGAGCATGCACAGGTGTCTAGTTCCTGGGCGACTAAGGTGCCCAGATTCTGGGCACCTTTGGTACCTTAGTCGCTGCTGAGCCATGGGTGAAGGCAGGTTCCTTAATGGTTTGTCCACCCCGAGACTAGGCGACAAAGGTGCCCAGAAACTGGGCGACATTTGGCACCCTAAAAAGTGGGGCAGGCGACAAAGGCGCCCAGTTTCTGGACACCCTACATTTAGAGTGTACGTCCAAGGCTTTCCGTCTCTCTCGCACTCACTGGCAGTGCGCAGGGAGCGACGGCGTGACGTAACATGTGGGACGACGCGGTGTCTGCCGCTCGCCGACAACGACCCCGCCAGCGCGGTGCACTCGATTCCCCCTTCTTCCGATTTGCCGCTGCACCCTTTATTTCGAGAAATTCGGGGCGCGGACGAGTGGTAAGGAAATCTCGAGTGGCTTGCCAGTGGCGTGGCCAGCGCCGCGGCGGTGCGAGAGAGACGGAGAAGGCGGAGCAGCGCGCCTCGACAGATGGGGAACGGGCGGCGCGGCGCGGCCCGCCCGATCTGTGCGCGGGCACGTTTTGAACAAAAACACGGCCACAAAAAACTAAAAACGGACACGAGCGTTGTCAATTGAACACGGCGGCGCGGCGCTGCCTGCCACCTGCTGGACTCGACCGACGCGTCTCCACGGGACTCACCCTGGGGTCGTTCATGATGGAGGTGGCCGGCAGCCCCGTCAGCTTGGCCATGTTCTCGGCCAGCTTGCCCCTGAAGTCCTCGAACTCGGTGGACGCGCCCGCGGCGGGCGTGAGCCCCGCGGCCTGCAGCGCGGCGGCCAGCGCCTGCTGCTGGTGCGGGGTGGGCGTGGGGTAGGCGGCCGAGGGCTGCGGCGGGGTGCCCGTCGACTGCTGCGGCGGCGACTCCGACTTGGGCGGCTGCGGCGTGGCGGGCTGCTGCTGCTGCGGCGACAGCGGCGTCCTGGGCGGCGTGGGCGGCTGCGACGGCGGGCTGGACAGCCGCTGCTGCGCCGCGGCGGCCCGCGCCAAGCCCAGGTTGAGGGCGCCGCCCCCCAGCGCCTCCAGCATCTTCCCTGCAAAACGACAAACAAACCCAGTCAGTTCATTCAGTCCGAAGCGCGAGCTTGGCGTGCCGCTTGCGGTTGCCGCTTCGCTCTGTCTCTCTCGCGCCGCCACGCCGTGAGTGCGAGAGAGACGCCCTGCTGCTGGCCGGCCTGACCCACTCTGCTGCGCGTCTCGACCGCACTACGCTTGGGGCCCCTCGGGGCAGGGCACCGGCCAGCAGGCAGCCGGCCCGGTGACGACCAGACCGATTCGATGATTCCTTTTTTGGGGAAACCATCGGGGCGGGGCGGGGCACATGTAAAGCATCGGGGCGGCCGAGGATAAAGGAAGGCCGCAAGGCAACGTGACCGATCTGCATTAAAGGGTAAAATCAAGGCCCCTTCAATGGCCATGCTAGAGCGTCATTTTTCTTTCCGAAAGGCTGGAGTCGAAGGGCGCGGCTCGCCGAGCCAGGGGGGAGGGGGGAGGGAGGGAACGACCATTAGTTGCCTGTCAAAATGACCACAGCGCCGCTCGGCCGTGCGGGTACACTGGTACACCTGTTCCTGGGGTCACACCGCCATGGCGCGCCACACGGCCACCGAGCCCCACTTTTTGCATTCCTCCGGTCTGGGCAGCGCGCTGCCAGCCGGATCGAAAATCGCAACTAAATGGAAAACGACGCAAAAACAGCCCTAAACAGACGTAATAATCTTGCGAACGCGGCGCATCGGATGCGAAACATAGTTATGGGCGTTTTACGAGGGCTTCGAGTGCACGCCGGCTATTAAACTATTAAGCGTCCCGCTCGCCAGTGCGAATGCGTGCGTGCGTGTGTGTGTGCGTGTGAATAAGACAGGCAAGAGATAAGACAGAGAGTGGAATACGAGACCGGACCGAATAATGCCGAGACAGTCCGCCACACCTAGCGGCGTCCTCGGCGCAGCTTTCGCGCCGCGCTTCCCCGTCCAGATGGTGAGTGCGTTCGGCCCCTACACCGTTTGCGCGCAAGTCGAGGTTACCTCGAGGACGTGGGACTGTGGGACCGCGGCCCGCCTGAACTCCCGGACGGACTCCTTTGGCCTCCATCGACTGGAGCGGGCTGCTGGAGGCTCCAGAGGCTGGCTTCCAGTGTTTGCTTTGTAATGACATTGCCCGCCTTGATTCAGAAATAATGGCCGACCGCATCAACATACGGCTCAATCCACTTTGCTGCAGCGTCGCTCCGTCTCTCTCGCACCCCCACGGGACGCCCCGTGCGTGCGAGAGAGACAGAGCGACCAGAGCGAGGCACGGAGTGAGCAGACCCATTCCAGATTTCTGGTGTACGTATTTCGGGGAGTGCCTCAGCCGGCCTCGTGCGCTGAAGAAAGCACTGCCCAACCCAATGTTATTTCCGGCCACTTGCTTTTACAGTGCAAAGGGCGAACAATGGGATAGAATCTTCAGCATTTGGTCGGTGCACCGGATTAGAGTAATGCAGAAGTCGATACCGGTGTACAATTCATTTTTCGTCGTAGGCAAACGAGCCGGTGACCTACAGTGACCACCCTTCGCCCTTGCCGCCAAAACCACCCCCAGGCGCTAACGGTCAGGGGGCGCCCCCGGATCGCCACCAGTAAATCTAGAGGCCGCCAACATTAGCTTCGCCATGCGCGCAAAACTCGCAAAGCTGTAAAAAGGTAGGCTGGCCGCGGGGCGAGGCGAGGCGAGGCAGAGTGGTGCGTGTGACTCCGGCGATAGCGGTAGGCCTGCCGGCTTGTAAAAGCGTTTCATAAACACAATAACGGCGCTAGACGCGAGCCGCCGCGGCGCTTTCCGCCGAGAGGGAAAGCCAAGGAAAAGCGCGCGAAAAAGCGCAGTCTGTCTCCCTCGCACCCACGGGGAGTCGCAGGAGTGCGAGAGAGACGGGGCGACGGCCCGCTAGCCGCGGCGCCGCTCAAGATGCCAGATGGCGGCGGAAGAATCCGGCCTGAGTCATGAGCCGCGGGAATACCGCACAAACTGGGATTATTGGAGCCGCGGCCGACGCCGTCCGTCCGCCGGGGTGGAGGGGTGGTTGAGGTGGCGGAGCGCGCTGGCGCCGTGGCGGCCAGACCGGCCGTCCGGGGGAAGGACGTGCAGCCATAGGCCGCCATAGGCCGCATAGCCGTCGACTAGCCGTCGCGGCCACCAGAGGCGCGCGCGGCGTTTCGCCAGCCATTTATGGTCAAACCACGGAGCAGAATGGTATGGAGCAACGGATCAGGCCCAGCGGCATAGGGCTGGCGAACTACCTTTCGCGGCGGCACTTGGTGCTTGCTCCGGCCGCCACCGCGCGGCGCTCGCGTCGTTATGGCTCTGCCCCGGCCGCTGGGCGCCTCTGCCGGCCACTGTGAGGCATGGACCGGGGACGGTTTTTCGGCTGTAAGTCCTAAACCGTTCAAATTAAATGGGTAGAGTAAGCGAGGCGATTGTAGGTCTCAGTCTAAGCTACAATCGGCTCGCTTAGCATACCCCTCTAACTGCAGCGGCCTAGGAGCTAGGACTAAAAAGCCATCTCCCGCCGGCAGCCCCAGGCCCCATGGTCCATACTACAATCACAAAAATATAAAACAATCCAGTTGCTTTCAATAAAACTGCATAATTGCGTCTCGGTATTGCATAGTTTAATTGTTATCAGGACATAAGACCATAACAGTGGCTGCATAGCCTTTTCGATTTAGAAATCAAGAACCTATAGTAATTGACGTAACTTAATTTGTAATGCCTGGCTCAAAAGCTTTGGCAAGCGAGGAAACTGTGGGAACCTAATAAAATTGGCTTCAATTTAATAACTGTGCTTGAAAGCATAAAGTAGCATTATACTCAGATTTTTTGAAAAATTAAAAAATAAAGAATCATTGACGCTTCATGTGCCATCAGGCAATACTTGAAAAGCAAACGTAAAGTCACCTTCTGACTACATCTTTAATGATTTCAGTTTTAAGTCACGACAACTGTACTGATTTGTTTCAAAAGTCTTCATTTTGACTTAAGCTTTTAAACCAGGCATCATAAAGTAAATTCCGTCAAATATCATGACTAATCGATTTCTAAAACAATGTGCATTCCAGCAATTGTAATGACACCATTTCCTAAACATATTTTAGCTGAACAATATTCAACCACAATCATGCAATTTAATTAGAAATTAATGGATTGTATAATGTTTTTCTTTATCTCTAGAGAAAAGCATAGACAGGGGCTGGGGCCTGGGGCTGCCGGCGCCGGCGGGAGATGGTTTTTCAGTCCTAGCTCCTAGGCCGCTGCAGTTAGAGGGGTATACTAAGCGAGCGGATTGTAGCTTAGACTGAGACCTACAATCGCCTCGCTTACTCTACCCATTTAATTTGAACGGTTTAGGATTTACAGCCGAAAAACCGTCCCCGGTCCATGCCTCACAGTGGCCGGCAGAGGCGCCCAGCGGCCGGGGCAGAGCCATAACGACGCGAGCGCCGCGCGGTGGCGGCCGGAGCAAGCACCAACTGCCGCCGCGAAAGGTAGTTCGGTTTTCGTGCATAGCTGATCCTCCATACCATTCTGCTCCGTGGTCAAACACTCGGAGGAACTCGTCATCATCCTAGCCGAGCCGAGCCGAGCCGAGCCGAGCCGAGCCGAGCCGAGCCGAGCCGAGCCGAGCCGAGCCGAGCCGAGCCGAGCGCGCCAACCTGACGGGCAGACGCCGGGCTGCAGGCTCCAGGACGCAGGACGCACTCGGTGACTTGAGTGTCCGGACGACTCAATCCAGAGAGAGGGGGCTGCTGGGACGCTGCGATTCGCCAGTCAGACCGTCTCCGTCGCACTCGCGGGGCGTGCCGGCTTGCCGTCGGGGTGCGAGGGAGACAGAGCGAGAGCCGTCCTCACCAGTGCGGGTGCCGTCACCGCCAACGCCGCGACTTTGAAATCAAAATTGGCGCAAGTGTCTAGCTCCTCCCGGGGCACCGAGCACCGCGCACTCTACCTATGCAAATCGGGCGCCCGCTTTGCCAGCTACACAAGTTGCATACACACACGGCGGACACACGGACACACACACACACACACGCACACACACACACACACACACACACACACACACACGCCGCGGGCCGCACTTGCCCTGCACTCGTATACCGCCACACCGCGCAGAGCCATTAGCATGAAATGAGATAAGTGCACCAGGCTTTTTCCCGAACAGAGAACCTCTCCTCCTTCTTCTGCGCCCAACAAGTGTGTGCTCTGTGTGTGCGCGTGCATGTGAGTGTGTGTGTGTGTGTGTGTGTCTTCGCGCAATCATGGCGGCCCCGCCTCGAGTCGAGAAAAAACGCCAAATGGAAATGCGCGCGAAATCCGGCGGGTATTTGAACCCGGGGTCGAGCCGAGGCACGCCAAGGCGCGCCAAGGCCCAACGGACCGCTCCTTTAATCCTTTCAGAAAACAGAGTCGATATGAGGCGGCCGGGCCCGGCCGGGCCCGCCAAAACAAAGCGTCGAACCCCCGCCGCGCCAGACTGATTCGCTGTCTCTCTCGCACTCACGGGTCGTCCGGCAGGCCCGCAAGGGGTGCGAGAGAGACAGAGCGACTCAGCCCTGCCCTCATCCAACGGATCCAGCGGGAATAAAGCCCTTGAGCTGAGAGCCCTCGCCAGACTCCCCCCCCCTCCCCCCGCCGCCTCGGTCTTGTACGGAAAACCGGCGAGGCAACGTTTCATATTCTGGGCACTTCCTGGGTAACTAACGTACGCGCACGCACACACAGCGCCGAAAAAAAAAAACTGACGTAACCCCTTTTGACATGTTGTGGGTGCCGATTGAGCGAGAGAGACGGGAGAGGGGGGCTGGCCGGGCCGCTGGCACACACACTGGGGATATCGACCGTGAGGACCGTAAGCACCGCGGGACGCGACCCTCCGTAAAATAATAGATCCAGCACCCATTTAGTAATAGATAAGGACACATCGTCCCCTCCGCGGCCAGAGACAGCGGAAAAAACGGTCGAAAAACGCGATGGGGAGCAAAATAGGAAAAAT